AAAAAATTATCATAATTTACCTATAATGAAAATAAAGAATCCACGATCCACACGTGTACAGACTGCAGGTGATGCACAATACCCATCCATTTGGCAGTCCAACAAGCTACAACGAAGGCCCCAGTAACCCACGAATAATTAAAGTTCGGCCAGATATTTCAGTGAATATATGGTTCCGTACTAATCATAACTCTTATTTTGATGTCATGTTTTCAATGTCCGAAATATTCTGTGTAGGTGCCTACATAAGAATGGAGACAGCCGTAAAGAACAGTCATGTGTGGAAACCGGGTGTCATTGGACACACTCAAGCCTAATAAATTATACCAAGGCAGCAATTGAGTTGGGGTAGTTAATACCTGCCCTTCCGAAAATGAAAATGAATCGGAATGGAAATAAACCTTCCTGTTATTCTAAGCTTTCGCTATCAGGCCGTCAATAGTGAGTGTTAGTACAGGGCATGGGTGACCGTTATTGTTCACTTGATTTATAAATACACTGATAAGAAGAACATTTATAAGGTTTTACCCTGACTGTCATCGCTTGGTTTGTATATAAAACGGGAGGACGTTACTGGTCGCGAAAGGAATTATAATGGCGGACGAAATACATGTGGACATCTCAACCATAAACCAAATTAGTAAGTAGTTAAATATATCAAAAAACGTTGTTTTACATATAAGGAATTTTTACTGGTATCTTTATGAAAAGACATCCAACCTGCTTCAGTGGACATTAGAAAATGACGATGCTCTCTCACTAACCCGCTGTTATCCATGGACGGTTCGATGGTATCTGTGAATATGCGTTGGGCGGCAGATACGGTCCAAAATTACTCAAGAAATTCCTCCGAGGAAGTCAAGAAATAGGCGGCCGGCTTCAAATTCGATGGAAAATGAACGACTGTCTATAAAAACATTTTCCAAGAGACAGTAGACAATTTAGCTTTTTTGAATAAATTTCCGCAAAAATAGTCCGCTTTTTAAGCACTATCGGTTGAAAGTTCCACTTTGAGTTTTGCTAGATCGTGTCGGCTGATTGCTAGGCGCGTCGTGCAATGCACTTTTTCGCCTGCCCTCAGCGGTTATTCGTCGAGTTAGTCTCAGGTAGCATCGCTACTACCTGAGATCCAACTGCAACTACTCCTACCTCACTTCACAGGTACCGTCCCTGGTATAACCGCTGGGATCGTAGGTATAATACTAATTTCCGTCTCTGGCAACAGTTTTGGCCTGTGGCAGATGCCCCGAAGTCGAAGTTAAAGTACACGTTGTTTTTTAACAAATTCTATTGTGGTACAGAGCTGATTCACTCACAAATAACGGTCTAGGAAAACAAATCGCCAAGGTGCGGGTAATTCAGTACATATAAGGGAGATAGGCAGAGCCTTCGAAAACCCTAATTACAGATGGATGCTTTTAGATCATGCAGGTGTTTCAAAGCCATATACATTACACCACATTATGAAGATCGTTTTTGTCTACCAAATGTATGACATACATGTAAAATATGATCGGTTCTTCTTTTAAATGCGTCAACGCTTTCAGCAAGAACAACTGAGGAAAGAAGTTTACTCCAGTCTTCAATGACCAGGTGGAAGAAGAAATTGCCCCGCACTTATAGTTTGTTATGGTGTTTCTTCAGTTTGTATCGATGACCTCGGAGATGTGTTGTTTGTGCGAGTGCAAAGAAGTCAGTCTTCTGAAGAGAACAGTCTACACCCCTGACGAGTTTGAACACCATGATCATATCTCCTCTGTTTTGTCTATAATAGATAAGAAAAAGATTGAGCCTATCTAGTCGACCTTCATATGGTAGACCTCCTAGGCTGCTGAATAATTTGGTCACACTCCATTGAACTTTCTCCAGCACTGCGTAATCTTTCTTCATCGAGGGGCACCACGGCTGGACGCAATACTCTAACATCGGCCGAACATATATTCCGAATACTCACCCAAAAAGCTTCCCATCAAAATAGAGGAAGGACCTTCTAATCACTCCTAGGATGCCCATAGCCTTCTCTGCGGTTTTGCCACAGTGAGTTGACGGTTTGCGAGTGGGCGTCATACATTTACCGTAATTCGCTTACTTGCCCGAATTGGTGACATCCTAATGGGTAATCGTACTCAAATGGTACCACCTTTCTGCAAATAGACAGTAGGCGGATGACTTCACGTAAGTTGAAATTCAGCTGCAGTAGCCACTTTTCACACCACTTTTACAAGTGATTCCAGTCATTTTGTAAGGTCTATCCATCCTCCAAACTTTCAATTGGCTTCCAAATCTTCATATCGACCGCACACATGACTTTCTTATAGGTGAGGCAGTCAAGGCAGTCGTTCACATATACCAGAATCAGAATGCGACCCAGAACGCTTCCCTGCGGAACACCACTGGGAAGGGTTTTCATTTTGTTTTGGTGTTTCCGATACAAACAGGCTGACACCTGCGAAGTTGAGAAGAAGAAGACTCGATCGCTGGAACAATATGTTTATTCGCCTGACGTTACGATATCCGTCGCGGATTCGTCATCAGAGACATGAGTAGCAGAAAGGTTGCGAAGTTCTCAGGAACCTTCGACACATACAGACGGCTGAGTTGTTTTTAGGATTAACTGTGAACCAGTAGGCGCATTGTTCCCTTATTGCGTTTTGCAGATTTACCATATCTCATCAAGAATGGACTGTCATCACTTCGTTAAAAGGAACGCGTGAAGATTGTACCTTTCATATCTAGTAGTTGCTTTTGCTCTTTTCGAGCCTGCAGGCCAGGCTTAATGACCGTAACGAGTACAGGTTATGAGGATGAACCGTGCGTTATGTGCACATCCTGATCGAAATATTCAAAAAACCACAAGACGAACTTATGGATGCAAAGAAGCTCATGAAGCAGAATATAGTTCGTCAAAAAAACGTCACCAGTGTTGAAGCAAAAGGTTTAAGTTCAAAGCGAAAACATTTAACAGAACATCTTAATTTATGGGTTGTTGTACAGCGATAGCCAACGCATATAACAGTAAGTGCAGGGCAGTGGGACCCACGCCACTGCTTAAGGTAGTTGTCACTTCAATACACGATGGGCCATGTGCGGACGCAAACATGTTGCCTATTGGGGTTAGTAACCATAGAGAAGCTGTGCTTGTGGTCGTATAAACATAAACAATGAAAGCCTTCTCCTAGCAATGGTTTGTTAAGTAGTTGCCCAATCAGCCATTGTCATCCTGTCCCCTCTGGTATTCGAATTATTTAGTTGAGTGTGACGATATGTGGATTTGTGGCAGTGGAGCATAGGAAAACACTAAAACAGCAGCTGGAATCTAAATCAACCATAGTGAGAGCCACGTGACAGTTAGTCCACAAGAGGAACTTAAATCTTCATGATGACTCCTTAAATTGCTGACAACCTGCTACAGGTAAGCCAAGATCCGGCGCACCTGAATTACAAATAGTATTTAGTTATTCGGAGCTTGCAGGCATCCATCTGAGGACCATGTTGTGGAATAACTCACTTCTTTTCATTGCTACTCTACCAGCAGCTCTTGGAAGACGTGGAAATCAAAGTTCTGAAACCATTTTGGATCAGGAACAGTACGATCACGACCCGATAAACCGTAAAGAGGGATCCCAAATCGCTGCCTACCGCAGTAAGGGAGTAGAATGTGGGGCAATATCTGGGGAGGTGTGGTTCTATTATCTGGTATTGTACATTAATATTCGAGTACCTAAGTGGACACCGGCAAACCGGAAAATACAGTAGTTGCCGGCTATTAAGCCCACGTTAACAGGCCCAGCCGCTTATTAAGCTCAGTTTGGTCTGGGTGACTACTGTACAAGGCGCACAAGTTGTGCCTGATGGCCTCGTATGACCCTAATGTTTAAAGCCTCAAAACCAGGGAAGTGAGTATGCTAGAGCTGTGTACAACACATAGCAGCGGTGCCGAACTCTGAAACTTTCCAGTCCGAAGGCAGCACTTTACAAAAACATCTGTG